CTGTCGTTCACACAGGTATGAAATATGCCATCAACTTTGATGATGTAACATCGTACCAGTTTGTAATCAACAATAAAGTGAAGCAGGAATGTGTACTCGCTCGTATCCCATTTGGAATTTACATCTCACTTCTTCTGGAACATGCCTCTTGAGATCAGGACTGTGGTATATTCATCCATTCTCGATCTGACGACGTCTTTACAATGCTCGTAGGCTCAAGGCCAAAACCAGGAGAGGAAAGGTACTTATCAGAGCTGCTGTTTGCAGATTATGCAGCAATATCCACCCACTCAGAGGAGGTGTTGCAATGTTTACTTTCTTTATATGCTGAGGCATGCTGTGAATTTGAACTAACAATCAGCAAAAATAAGACAAAGGTTATGGTGCAATGTGTTAATGATAGACCTGCAGTCCACATTGACGGTGAAAAGCTGGAGACAGTTGACCAGTTTACCTATCTGGGTTCAATAATGAATAACAAACTATCGCTGAACCAAGAAATCAACATCAGGATAGGTAAGGCAGCAACAACAGTGGGGCAGATTAACAAAAAGAATTTATGAGAACAGAAAGCTCACGATTAAAATAAAATCTCTGCCCGGCTCTCTAGCGTAGTTAGTTAAACCTGACTTCAGCGGCGGCCGGGGGACGAACTCCATGTGGTGCGGGGGTAGGCAGAAAAGCCACATTTCTCCCAGATTAATGGTACCTATAATGGAATCAAGGCCGAAGGGTTGTAATATCCATAGTACCGAGCCAAAGGGTTTAGAACTCATGGTTTCTGGATACTTTAAAAATAAAAATCTCTTGTCTATGAGGCTTGTGTTCTCAGCAATCTGTTTTATGGCAACGAAACTTGGTCGACTTTTTCGCACCAAGAGAGACGACTAAATAGCTTTGACATGCGATGCCTAAGAAGAATACTTGGCATAAAGTGGCAGGACAAGATCACCAACACTGAGGTATTGGAAAGAGCAGGTACTACACGTTTTCTCAATGAGAAGTTTACGAAGGCTCAGGTGGCTGATTCACACCTGGAGAATGAAGGATACCAGAGTCCCTAAGGACATCCTTTATGGTGAATTAAAGACGGGTAGAAGATGTCGAGGCTGACCTCTGCTACTATATAAAGACGTGTGCAAGTGGAACATGAATGATATAGGTATTGAGGTGGACTCGTAGGAACAAAATACCACGGACCGTGTTGTGTAGAAGGGTTACATCAGGAGGGGAATAAGAATGAAGGAGGAAATTATTGCATAAAGGATAAGAGCTGAGCTTCTGAAAAGAAACAGACTAAACACAAATGTTGACAACAATAGTCCTGAAATCCCATGATATAATTGTGAAAGACTTTTCAGAACGCAATCGGGTCTTGCTTGTCACACTCGCCATCCTCATGGGATGAAAGTCCCATGCCTTCTCATAGCACAATATAACAGTATCGTCTGGAAAGACGGATATGTGCCAGTCAATCACTCATCAATAGGACAGGGGAAGATGCACTTCTGGCGGCATGCTCTTTTCTGAATAGAAACTATATAGCAACAATAGGAGCGTGATCTTTCTGACTGATGTTATGTCAGTTCTACAATCAGCTATTAAAGCAAAATACACGCAGTTTGCAGACTTTATGCAACAGCTGATTCACTTAGATTCTTCAGTAGAACAATCTGCCCTGCAGTGGATTCCCTGTCACTTTGGCTTTGAAGGCAATGAATTAGCGGTCAAACTGGCCAAAAGTGACAGTGACACTGCAATCAAATAGTGACTTAGCCCACCAAGAGACTAAGAAATTGATACAATCTGGTATCCAAGAAAAATGGCCGAATACCCACCCCAAATTTTCAGACAAAGACTTGTTTTATCGTCTCTCTGGAGAGAGACATCGTGTTATATTCAGACCAAACTTCTCCATCGTATGTGCAACATTTTCATTGCAAAGAGACATGGAGATGTGTCCCTGCAACTTGACACCAGAAAATGAGCATTAATGAGCAACTGTATGATGCTAACAGAGAAACAGTCTGGACAGTTGGAACCTCTATGTAGACAAAGCTGTTTGGCACACATGGAGATTTGGACTGCCTGTAAGCTTTCACAAAAGCTTCGGGCCCTCTGATGTTTTTAGTGACAGAAGAATCGAAGACGAAGACTCCTCAAAAGGAGATTGGTCATAACAATACTAAGTCTTTCGCCCCGTGTATGCATTCTCTTAGACTGCTATTCGTAAGACTTCTGATGTTATCCTTCCAATTGTTTGCCTTTAATTGTTCCCTTTAGTAGTGTTTTGTCTTTTACTAAAATGGCCTAAATATTTCTGTTTTTTTTTTTTTTTGTATTCCCAGCAACTCTCCTCTGATAGTTCCTAGTTTCTTCAGAACCTCTGGATTTGCTTGTTTTTGTTTTCAAGAGTTACCACCAGTTCTTTTGCATATCCACATCTCTAAATACTCAACTTGATTGTTCAATGGTATGCACCTATTCTAATTTCGAATGTGTGCCATTCAAGACTGTCTCCAGTACTGGAGACAACCCTGGCCTCTTCGTCTGTATTATTATATATTAGTCATTTACGTCCTTCTTAGGACGTAATTTTTTGTTATTTGAAGCCCCACTCTGGCTTTTGCCAGGGGCCGCAATATAGGCAGGCTATCAATATGGCCAATTGTCTGAACGCGGTTTCTGGGACCTCTCCACGGTGATCCTCATCCACATGGTGGCACTTTGTGTCATCGGGTGTTTATCGCTTGTGTGATGTCCTGGTGGGGTAGAAATTCATTCATTCATTCATTCGTCTGTAGTCTTTCTCCAATCCAGCTTTTATTAATCAAAATGGCGGATTTGCTTTGACTGAATCGACAGGTATTTATTATTTTGATTGTGTTTGTATTTAAGGTAGAATACAATTTTACTAAATAAAAATTTGCACAATCGTTATTATTGTCCTAGTAAATAGATCGATTCCAGCTTTATTAATTTTAGATATGTTTGTCGTATAAATAATTATAATTTCTAATTAATAAAATAATAACACACTGTTAACTGTTGTTACTAATACTAGTGTTACTCTACTGAACTACTGTTAGTGTCTTCTTCTGCCTTTCTCTATCCCCCAATGGAGCATAGGCCCTCAACCAACTCACGCCAAGTCGTTCTATCCTTCGCCATTGCATGGAGCTCTCCCCATGTCCTCCCAATCTTTCTAACCTCATTCTCCAGCTCTCTTCTCCATGTGTTTTTTGGCCTTCCTTTATTCCTATGCCCCCGTGGGTTCCAATGCAAAGACATTCTAGTTATGCTGTTCTCCTGTTTTCTCAGTGTGTACCCTTCATAACGCCAGCGTCTTTTCCTCACCTCCAGATCCACAGGAGCCTGTTTAGTTCTCTCCCAAAGTTCTACATTAGTTATTCTATCATACCATTTTATTTTCTCTATTCTGCCCAGGCACCAGTTAATGAATGTCTTGTTATTTATTAGTAATTGCCTTGGTTGTTCTCCATGTTTCTGCCCCATACAATAGTACTGATTTGACATTAGAATTAAAAATTTTTAGTTTAGTATTTCTTTTAATTTCTTTTGACCTCCACAAATTCCTTAGTGCTATGAAAGCCTCTCTTGCCTTTTGTATTCTTATTTTAATATCTCTATCAGTTCCTCCAACTTTATCTACATTACTGCCTAAATAGGTGTACGACTCCACGTCTTGGAGTTGTTAGTGTAAGTTAGTGTTAACACACAGTGTACCGTACGACTGTACTCACTGTACTCTGTAGTGTATGAATGATCCTCGCATTCATTCTTAGAATAAGAATGTAAAAATGATCCCATCTATGACTATATCAAGTATATCTACGATCTTTATCTCGTAACTCATTGTTTATTTTAGTAATCATGACTTTCTTTTCACTTTTTACAGCAGTCAAGTTTGTTGAGCCCTGAGTGAATTTCTATTTCTTCTTACTTCTTATTTTCCACTAAATTATGACACATAATAATACATTTTCACAAATAATAGAAAATCTGTTAATTGTTTGTTAGTTCTTCCCAGCCTATTCTCCATTCTCTGCTGTTTGCTTCTTGGTGTGACTGTGAGGGTCTAAAAATCCACAGTAATACTTCTCGAAAGTTTGTTATAAAGCTTCGTTTCTTTTAGTTTTAAATAGTAAATAGTTGTTGTAGTCCTTGTTTCAGAACCATATAGTTAGGACAAGTGGTTTTATCAAAATCTAATTCTGCTAGCATAAAAAGCAAAGCCATTTCTCTCCGTAACCACCATCCATGGCAAAGGAAACAGAGGGACTAGGGAGACCCACAAATACAGAGAAGATAATTAGAGACAGATCAGTACAATCGGAAGTACATTATTGGGGTGGTAGGAGATGGCAGTAGACAGGAGTGCTTTATGTGGTCCGGTTGGAGGACTGCTTCACTGGGGGAATACAAGCCAACGAAGATAAAAGGGACACAGCTATCCTCCTAATAATGGTCCCAAATTATGGAGGCCGAAAATATACCCTAACAGGGCCTCCGTAACATGTAAATTGCGGACTTCTTTCCGCTGTTCAAATGTTAAAGCAGGATTCACTTTAGATAGTACTAAATACATGGTGTTGTAGAGACCACAGCTCAATGTCACCGGGCTCTGCTAAGAGAGGTGCTCCATCATTCAACTCCCTCCTGTTTCATTCCATTCTATTTTACAAAATACAAATCTTGCCATGTTCAACCGGCTATATGCTAGCTGAAGCTATCAACAGTTTCTGGTTATATTTATAGTCTGATTTATTTGTCCCACTATGGTGGCTAATGTTGTCGAATGTTCTAAAAGGTGACTATTTATGGGTTGGCTGAAATCGGATATGTTTGGAATGAAAGGTGCAGAGATCACAGCTTATCTGTAAACATCAACAAAATGTCATGACCCTGTCTGTTCCTAACAGGGGCTGTGATAATGCAGTAGTTTTTGTTAGTCAAGGGATCAATCACCCAAGGCCAGGATGGATGTTGGAAGAGAATTCTCCTCTTGGGAAAGTTTTATTCATACTCTGGAGCAATACTCCAAAGAACAGAAGGTAATGTAGTTTGTGAATTAATTACCATTTTATTATATCTGTTACTAATAGTTTTTAAGATATTCTTATTCTTAACTCTTTTAGTTCCAAGAGGTTTTCCACAAAAATAGTCTCTTTAGTAAAATCAGTTGAACGACCCTTTCATGATGGTCGCCTAAGACCGTCGAAAAACACATGTTCATTGAAGTTATGAATGAAAAAAATTGTTTGGGAGTCGTGGCAACATAAGGGAAGGGGCATTAGGAAGGTTGATAGCCACTGCTGTAGAGTATCATCGAGAGGAGTTATTTGTAGTATCTTGTCTTTTGCTAGGTGCGTACCTCTGTTAATGTCCATTGCATTTCTTTAGTGTCACCTTTGTTTCTTCTACCCAACTCTTTCTTGGTCGGCCTCTTGCCTTGTTGCCTGCTGTTCTCAACATGGGTGATTCTGGCACGCAGACACTAAATCCTGATTGGTGCTTCAGATTTCATGCACTTTCTGGAGATTCTGCTTGTATTGTCTACTGGAGTAATTGTTGATTAAGTTGGCATTGTTTCAGACGATAATGTACTGTTGTGCTACAGGGAGTCACAGTCTATGACAAGGGGGATTGTGAATGACAAGACTAGCTCATGTTGAGAAGAATCTTTCACAATACATGCATGAAATTTCAAACCATTGTTGCCTCATGTATTTGCACGTTTCTTCACAGACGCACAGCTCTTTACCTATCTGCAGTCCTGTTCTCCTCTGTCCCTATTCCATTCCATTAATTATCTCCCCCCCCCCCCCCAAACCCCTATGCTGGAGTAGTCATGCAGTTATAGAGATTTATGAGTGATCTGAGCTAAGCACAAAAGCACACACACACGCATGCATACATGCACGCGCACACACACAAACAACACACTTACAACTCTCACTCCACTCCTAAAAATACATAACACTGTCAGGAGTATATTTGTTGCGATGCCAGCAGTTGTTCGGAGAAGAAACAGTGGACATGAAGTAACATGATCACTAATTTCATGATATCGTAACATATGGCTACGTATGAAAGTATCACGGTCACACAAGAGTATTTGCAGTGTAAGTCATCATTTGCAAAACGTCACTCTCACCACTGCCTCGTGTGCTTTCATATTCAAAGAGTAATCTGGTAATCTTAGTTTCAACTTCATAGCAAATGGATCACCCAAATGAAATCTGCAGCTCACAGTGTCACACCATGTGCTCAATTCAGAAGCTGTGCAACGAAACTATATCTTTCCAGTCTACTAATGGAGCAAAAATGCACCGGCCACCGTCTGCCAGAAGCAAACAAATTTGCCACTGCTAAAAAAAAGTGGCCGTGCCTAGCATCAAAGAGTAACTTATATCCTGTGCCCATCTTTGTGTTGGTCGGCCCGTCCCCTCCTTTCTGGTGCCATGCCTTCTGATATTATTGTTTCTAGTCCTCATGGCACTTGATATGACCAAAATATTTCAGCTTCCGAGACAATATGCTTACCAGAATTAAGCATTTCTCTTTGAAAAATACCACGTTAAAGATGTCATCTTTTCACTTGTTTTGGTTGACAGGTGGCATATGTCGTTGGAACATGCAAGTCGGTGGAGACAGCAAACAAACACGAGGCTCTTAAAAACAAGTTTCCTGTCAGATTCAAGTATTGCTTTGCACGGATGCTGTGCAAGCATGAAAGCAACTATAGTGTTCACAGCAACAGGCTTAGATCTCATCATAGGTACATTTAGTTAACATAATGTAGTTAATTCCCTGTGTGGGATCCGGGGCCCTATTATAGGGAAAACAAGAATAGACCCACTAACTACCCAAAAGCATGTTGTAAGAGTTGAGGGATGCACACGCAACACTAAGGTTCTGGAACAGGACTGCAGTCCAGAAGTGGATGAACAGCCAGAACTTTCCGCCAGAGTTTACAGCTGGTGAACAAAAAAGAAGAAGAATGAAGATGATGTAGTTAAATAACCAAAAGTACTCTGTGGTAGCATAGTGGCTAAACACTCATCTTCTGACCTGAAAGTCGTGGGTTTTAATCCGCATCGTCAGATTAAAGAAAAAAAGTAATTACCTTTGTCCTAGGTCAGCTCAGCCTAAAATGGGTACTGGGTAAGATTCTGGAAAATAAAGGTGACAAACCACTATCACCATGAATGAAATTCATTGGACCCCTACAAAACAGCTTGATGACCTGGACTTCACTGTTGATATTTTAATGCAAGATCACAAATAGGTATAAAAGTGCTTCTGGGAAAGGCAGAGATAATTAGAATAAACCAGGCAGATAAAAATCTGGATTTTTAAATGGTATTCTACTTGAAGACATGGAGTTGCACACCTGTTTGGGCGTTAATGTAGGTATATTGGGGTGGGGAAAGGGGGGACTGATAAAGATATTAAAATGCAAATAAGAAGATGCGATTTCATGGCACTAGGAAATTTGTGGAGGTCAAAAGAAATGATGATACTATGCTTAACATTTTTAATTCTAACATCAAATCAGCATTGCTATATGGAGCGGAAATATGGAGAACAGCTAAAGCAGTTACTAATAAACTACAAACATTCTTTAACTGGTGCCTGCATAGAACAGAGGGAATGAATTGGTATGATAGAATCTCTGATGTAGAGCTCTGGGAGAGAACTAAACAAATTTCAGTGGATTAAGAGGTGGAAAAACCCCCATTGGCATTGGATAGGACACACATTGAGAAAACCTGAGAGCTTTGTGACTGGAATACTTTGTACTAGAACCCACAGGGCATAAAAATAAAGGCAAACCAAAAACACATGCAGACGGGAGCTAGATAATGAGGTTAAAAGATAGATTAAAGCTCTATGTCTGACAACTGTTTCAGTTTCTTTATTTTGACTCAGTTTCAGTAAAGCCTTAAACACTTTTTGTTGCAGCCTAACCGACATCATACCTGGTGCAGAATGGATACCTGTGCCTCAGGCGTTCATTTGTACATTTTTCTGTATTGTCACACTCAACAGGCGATGTAGAGAAGAGAATCCTGTTGCTGTTAATGCAGAGGTCAACGCTCTCATCGGTGAAAATTCAGATGAAGCAGATGCAATAATCTATACAGACGGATCCGTTATACGCCAAAGAAGAAGCGCATGGGCATTTACAGCACGCTCAGCGGGCAGAACAGTCAAAGAAGCCAACGGCGCCTTCTCCATGACAACCAGCAGCATGACGATGGAGGTGATGGCAGTGACGCAAGCGCTTGCCTGGCTTGAAACACAAAAATACACCCGCGTGTGTATACTCAGTGATTCAATGAGTATGATCCGGAGGGTTCAAGCAGGTTGAGTGCGAAGACAATGGCTTGAATCATTACAGAAGTCCACTGTGCGTGGAGTCACCTTTATTTTTGTTCCGGGATACGCAGGCGTCGATGGAAATGAAAGAGCTGACAGGTTGGCTGGATCCGCTATCACTACCAACGGTCAGCCTATGGATCATGCTGATATTATCAATGCCCTCCGAGAAATGGGAAGGATAGAGGACTTTGGTGGCAGTGAATCCACATCACTCGCCAGAATGGCAGACTTGGGAATTAAGATCGGCACAGCAAAAAACGAGACGCACACCAGTCACGCCAGAAGACTTGTTAATCAACATAGAACTGGTACTATTAGCCATCGGACGTTGGGGTTCATACTGAGGGGAGGATCTGAGCACCTATGGACATGTCCGGAGTGCAATGAGGATAACCCAACTAACTAACTAACTAACTAACTAACTAACTAACTAACTAACTAACTAACTAACTTTTTGTTGTGGAGATGGTGCACACATTTTTTAAAAATCCATTACACTGTAATTGCCATAATTGCATAAGGTCCTTAGAAGTTATCTACTTCAATTATTTTTATTACTTCTATCAACAGAACATGTAAGACTGGGTGCACCTCATCTGTATTGATATCAGTCAACAAGAAAAGAACAGCTTTGGTCATCAAGGAGGCAAATCTGCAGCATACTCATGAAATCTCTGAGAAATCCTTCAGCAGATATACCCAGAATCTTAGACTGCAAGGAGAAGAGCGTCGTATGGCAAGTGTTCTTTTGAGGTCAGGAGTACCCCTAAGCCAAGTGCAGGAATTTATCTCCAGTGCTTGCAGTAAAGACAGGGATGTTCAGAATCTCAAAGGCAGTATAAAGGGCACTTTATCAGAGAAGGAAGGTCATGAATATGCTTTCTTGAGTGACCTCGATCAGTTAATGGCTGAAGATCCGGAATCTGTTGTAGAGATGATCAACTTTTCTCTTGTCCCTAGAGCCATATATATCCAGACATCTGAAATGACAAGGAGAATGAATTCATTATCAGATGGGCGACTCCAGATCGTCACCCATGATATTAATGATGGTAAAATCTCTGTAATCAGCATCATTGCACTTGATAGCAATCTCACTCCACATATTCTTGCATTGTGCATTACCATCTGTGATACTGAATCAGTTTTCCAATACTTTCTGGAAGCATTTGTCAGAGAAAATTCTGAGTTTTGTGACTCTTTGACTGGAGTTGTGCTAGACTGTTCCAAAGACAATGCAGACTTTCTCCAACAGTTAATTCCACAAGTCTCAGTGGCTTGGAGCAGATCATATGTATTAAACAAATTGACAGAAGTTAAAAATGGTACCAAGGATGTTCAAAAGATTATTCAACTTCGTAAAGAGCTAATGAATTCTAATTCTGAGGAAGCATATGAGAAAAAACTTAAGGATCTTTTTGATTCATGTTCCGCCTTCAGAGTCAAAAGAATTTCTGAAAACTTGGGATCAATACAAGGAGTTGTGGACACAGTACGAAATCTCATCGCATGCCGAATTACAGCATCAAGAGGCATCAGTAGAGGTGGACTTTGTTAACTTTTTGAAAACATATGTCAAACCATCTATGAGTCTGTCCGAAGTCATTAAGGCTTTACTAAAATTATGTCAAAATAAAGAGCCCGAGACAGCAGACAGAGATAAATCTTTTGTAAGTAATGATCCTAGTTGTGAACATTATCAACAACTTTGCTTTCCTGAGGCAGCACAGGCTGTGATCTGTCAGCTTTCGATTGCTCTCAGCAGCTGCTATGAAATCAAAACTCAGACAGATATGATATTTGTGAAGAAGCTAGACACAGGTGATGAGTTTATGCTGGATACTTTAGGCAGCAAGTGCACTTGTCAGTACTTTTTAGATACAGACCTGCCATGCCAGCATATCTTTGCATGGCTTCATTCTACAGGTAAATCTTTGTACAGTGAGTTGCTGATACCTGCCAAATGTCAAGTGTTTGGTAGAGCCATCACACTTGATGCTCTTGCTGAGTCATTGGCTCAGGGCTATGTTCCATCCTCTCGACTGCATGATGAAAGGCTGAAAGAACTGCAGATAGTTTTGAAAGACACACTGTCTTCCTGTTGCTCACATTCTTATGAACAAATGGGCAAAGATTTGATTTTATTAAAGCAGGTTTATAATATTATGAAAAACAACTGTGCACATAATGCCACATTGTTGATAAATGCGGAGAAGAAAGAGTCTCTGCATGAAGCTCCAACAGAGACTACTGCTTCTGCAACACCAGCTCCTAAAAAACGAGGTCGTCCAAGTAAAAAACCTAAACTGCAGCAAGAAATGAACTTACAACCACCAGATAAAAGAAGTTCTGTTTCAATAGAAAAGACACAAATCACACCCCCAGTTATGAGACATAACTTGCGCACAAATATCAAGCATAAGTTCGTCACAAGAGAGCTTCGAACTACAAATGAACAGATTTCTGACACACCAAATAGTGCTATACAACAAAAGACTGTGTCGGGAGCAGGCAAGGCTGTTCCTGCAAATAAAATGGAGCTTTCACATAGTACTTCAAAGTATACTAACTCTGTCTCATCTCCAGAAGTTTCAGAAGATGAGGTTTTGACTGATAACACCATGAATACCTTATCTGTTAAAAATAAAATCAAACAGATATCAAAGGAAGTTTCTGGGGAGAATAATTTTGCAAATAATTTACACCATTAAATAATTTGGAAGATGCAAAATTAAAAACCCAGGCAAGAAGCAGCATGGATTCTACTGTAAAAGCAGGAAAACCTGTTGCACTTTCTTGTGCTGGTGTAAAGAGGCGCCATTCTGAAACCCAGAACAACAGTGTGGTAAGCCATGAGGAAAGCAGCAGTAATGATGAGGAGGATGTTAAGTCTGAGGATGAAGATGTAAGTGAAGAGGAAGATGATAGTGACGATGAAACTGGTTCAGAAACGCAGAAGAAAAAACATGCAAAATTGTTGCAAGATTTGCATACATTTCTGTCTGAGCTTCCTGAAGAGTTGTTAAATAAGGTTATGCAGTCAGTGTCTGCATTGGATTTTTCTGAAGGGATAAATGAAAGCATGAAGGACAAGTCAAATGATTTTTCATCTGCAGCTGCAGATGCTTTGTTGAAAGCTTGTCACAGTAAATTTGAGGTATGACTAGTGCTGTTGAGAATTGTCTTATGTTAATCTCACTTCTTATGCATTTTGTCCTTTAGTTCAGTTTTAATAAACGTATTAGTTTAGCTCAGCAAGGATGTGTGTGTTTTCCCACAATCTGCTGCAGTGTTTTTTTGTCTATAAGTTTACACATGCTGTTGAAAGTTGAGTTATTTAAGGTCAGTAGTTAAAAAAGAGGCGTTTGGTGATGTTTTCTGGCCCAGAAAAAGAGTGACTTCCCTTCCCATTCATGTCTTGTCGTGTCACAGGACCTGTCCTATGTTGCAGGGATGTTGTGTTTATTGACCGACCACCAACATGTTGTATTTTGCTCGTTGTTGTTAGTGGCCGGCGATATCACGTGTTCTGTATCCATGATGTGACCAATTTTAACTGTCCACAAATGTATACAACTGGCCCTAACCCCCCCCCCCCCCCCACCCCCAAAAGCCTAAGTCCCATGAGAGAGTGCAACCCAACTTCCATGAGAGAGTGCAGCCTACATCCCAGGACTGCAAGCAGCTTATAATATATGCCACAAACAGTCGGGACACCTCCGCAACATAGGACAAGGGAAGTCGCTCACTCGCTTTCTGAAAATGTTACTATAAAGATCCCCAAAAAACTGGTAAATTTACTGGTCATGAGTGTTTGTCCTTTTATGATACATTATGAAGTGGTGTTGATCACCTTTTACAAGCATGTCATGAAAGGCTACTAATTAGGGGTATTTCCTCGGAGGTCAGAGTGCATCTGCCTAAGAGGTGAAGAACCAATAGTCTGCATACAGATAAGCCACATTTGTAAAATGGATGTGCACGCAAACTAAAGTTCTGAAACAAAATCAAAGTTCAGAAAGTTGACAAACAACTAGAACTTTCTGCCAGAATTTACAGCTAGTGAAAAGAAGAAGAAGTAGAAGAATGAGAAGAAGAAAAAGAAGAAGATCACACATTGTTTTAAATATCGGTCTTAGATGAAGGCATAATGTCATAAACAGTTGTAAATATTGGTCTTAGATGAAGGCATACTGTCATGAACAGTTGTAAATATTGGTCTTAGATGAGGGCATACTCTCATGAACAGTTGTGAAAATTGGTCTTAGATGAAGGCATACTGTCCTAAACAGTTGTAAATATTGGTCTTAGATGAAGGCATACTGTCCTAAACAGTTGTAAATATTGGTCTTAGATGAAGGCATACTGTCCTAAACAGTTGTAAATATTGGTCTTAGATGAAGGCATACTGTCATGAACTGTTATAAATATTGGTCTTAGATGAAGGCATACTGTCATGAACAGTTGTAAATATTGGTCTTTATAGGTATACTATCATTAACAGTTGTAAATATTGGTCTTTGATGGCATACTGTCATGAACAGTTGTAAATATTGGTCTAAGATGACGGCATATTGTCACGAACAGTTGTAAATATTGGTCTGTAAATATTGGTCACAAACAATTATAAATATTGGCGCTTGGTAACTGCATTAGGTCCACCTCTCTGACTTGGAGGTTAGGTTATGTGTTGCACTATACTCAGTTTACCAGGGCTCAATTACCCTGGGGCCGATAGTTTACAAAAAACAACATCATGTTTTTATGGCATTCAGGGAGTGATATCGGGGTCGTGCCATCGACAAATGTGGGGGCCTCAAGTATAATATTGCTAAAGACAATTGTGGGTCACAGAAGCTAACTTTCATTGTGGAAATGGCTCACAGTGTTTATTACATAAAAAGATGGCAATAGATTTATCATGTCCTGAGAAGAAATGGATAGAGAATTACCAAAGAGGCACTGAATTGGGAGCAAGTAGGTTGAGGAAGCGAGGACATCCAAGAGAAACATGGAGATGAATGTTGACAAGAGAGGCCAGAGGTGCTGGACTAGATTCCATCCATGGTGTCAGACATATGGATAGAACAGAAAGAACAGTGAACAGCATAACTAGAATGTATTTGCATTGGAACCCACAGGGGCATAGGAGTAAAGGAAGGCCAAAAAACACATGAAGAAGAGAGCTGGAAAATGAAGTTAGAGAGATAGGAAGGACATGGGGAGAGCTCCATGTAAACAGAGGATAGAGCGACTTGGCGTGAGTTGGTTGAGGGCCTATGCTCCATTGGGGGATAGAGAGGCAGAAGAAAAAGAAGAACAGAATGGGCTAGTAGAATGCGAGCCCCATGTGATGAGTAAATGGTACAGCAGGATGATGATGGGCACACTGTCCAAAATTGTTATAAATAGTGGTACTCGATTAAAATCTTCTCGAAATTTACTGCTTTAATTTCTGAGTTAGACGTTGGTTTATTTAGCGGGGCCACTGAAGGATGTTTTTTTTTTTAATTCTAAAAGTTTTAATGCAGAGGTGCTGAACCACATGTGGCTGTAGTGCATCATGACTAGAGCTTATACTAGTCAAGACTTGTCTTTACCTCTCTGCAGGATCATCCTACAGGCAGGGGAGCCTGGTCATTCGGCATGCATCTTTCTGAGAGATGAAGAACTAACAGTCTGCTCACGAATAAGCCAGATCTGTAAAATGGATATACACTCAGAACATAAAAACCTGGAACAAGACTGAAGTACAGAAGTGGACATAGGGACATCTTCTTTTTATTCTTCCTTATGCTTACCAGCTGTGAACTCTGGAAGAAAGTTTATTTTGTTTGTCTGCTTCTGGGCTTTAGCAGTCTTGTTAAAGAACCTTGATTTTTGTGTACACATCCGTTTTACAGATCTGACTTATTTGTATGTAAACTATTTGTTCCTTGGCTCTCAGGCAGATGAACTCTGACTTAAATGGAAGCACCCCTTAATTAGTCATCTTTTATGATATGCTTGTTGGGGGGCAGTGGGTCTATCTCAAACCCACCCCCCTCTCTCTCTTTTCATGGGAGCCTGGAAAGCACACGAACAGAACAACCATGACTTTCTGAGAGTCCTGGAACTTACAGGAGCAAAACAACCATGACTTTCTGATCGAGTCTTGGAACTCACAGGAGCTTTACAGCCATGCATTTTTGATAAGAGTCCTGGAACTCACAGGGACACAACAACCATGACACTCAGACAGATGAGTGGACAATTAATAGAATATAAGAATAAGGTGTATTTATGTTTCTTGGATCTAGAAAAGCCATGAGCAAGTTCTGGGACTGCTTGGCAAAGAAGAACATTCCAGCGTACCTAATCGGCACAATACAGAGTTTTTACAAAAGCTACAGAAATTATGTGAAAACAATAAATGAAAAGTGAGAAGAATTTAGAACCGCAGCCTGACACATTTGCATTTTTCTGATAGATGTTGTGATCATCACCTGTAAGGAGAAGACAAAGAAGTACTCATTAGGAATATGAGGACTTATTTGTAAATTAGAGTTGGAAGACTAACCTGATCAGTAAATCCTTGTTGGCCTAAGAGGTTGAAATTATTGCAGCGCTGCGGTAAACAGATAAAAGGCAAAATACCAGATTATATGAGATGACGAAGACATGAGTTAGTTGCAGTAAATTTAGTGCCTAAAATGAGGTCTACTTAGCGAAGTGGTTAAGCCATTTGCCTCACACTCTGAAAGCAATGAGTCTTTACAGACTGAAACTCTGTGCTTTATTAACATCCTACCCCAAACAGGGAAAATCCACAGATCATGGAACAGTCTAATATGATAGACTGCATGCAGTCGTGGGACCTAGGCTGCACGGAGTCTTTGGACCTAGGCTGCACGCATTCGTGGGACCTAGGCTGCACTCTCTCGTGGGACGTAGGTGAGTTGGGGCTAGGACCAGTTCTAGATGTTTTAGGGTTGTTAAAACGATCAGAAAACTAGTGAAACTCAGGTCTTACCACCCTCTGAAATGTTGGACTGTCCTGTGACGTCATCTGGGGTAGGGTATTAATAAAGAACCCAAGGCACTCTGTAGGCTGATAGCTTTTCTGTGGAGTTGATCCTCTCGACTTTAACGTTTCATATTAAATACACTTGAATTTTTTTTTTCAACCTTATCTTCCTTTATTGTTCTATTTTACCTCAGTATATTGACGTCATCAAAGAGCACCTTCGCAAATTCTGCAGAGAATATCATGAACATGCCTATCAAGTCGCCGCCTGCATCATCTGCCAAGCATTTCTGACCCATGTCCCCATCGCTGACATGCTGCAGGCAGTCAGAGCTTGGCCCAGCCATTTGCCAGAGCTGCCAACATCAAGGACTCTTGAAGCTGAGGTGTCTCTTGCAGTGGGACAGACTTTAACCATCTGTGGACATAAACTGAATCAACTGGACATGGACACCTTGAAACCTGACAGGGAAATCAGTCCAAAGGTGTTTGTTTTTAAAGATAGTTTATGAAAAAGAAAAAAAAAACATTATTTTTCTCTTTTTTTTTGGTGTTTTTTTCTGTCTTTTTTTCTTTTTTTCTAGTATTTCTTTGTGTCTTTCTTCCGTTATTTATTGTGTTTTTTTTTTTGCCTCTTTCTTTTCATTCTGCTTCATTCATATAGCTGATGAAAAAAAATTCCTTTTCTTTCTTTTCCCTCTTTTGTTACTTTTGTTCGTTTGTCTTTCTTTCTTTCATTCTTCTGTTTCTTTTGTTCATTGCAGCCTTATTTTGTGTGAATTGCCACTTGCTGTTTAATGTTTTGGTATGTAATACCGTTCTACACAATTTTGGATTTAATCTCAATCCAAATACATTGCTTTGGCCATACAGAGTCTGTAGTTAGTTTCTACACATGATTCTATAATATTATTTCATTTCTTTATCTTACTTTCACCATAGATACAGATCTCTTTTAGCCATTTGCATGTAGCTACAGCTGGCTGAACAACCCTTATTATCCCTTCTCTTGATTGTGAATTTTTTTCAATTTTTTGTGCCCAAATTTATGATACTTTATTCTGTTAAGAATAAGTAGGTAAGTAAAGGTCCCTTTTTTCACGCCTGTAGGCATATAGGGCTAGACCTGTTTTTTTTTATAGACCAATCGGCACAGGATGGATGATGTGGTCAGCATCATGTCGGTCTGTTGAGAATGCACAGTAAATATTATACTGTGGGCAAGCATTCAGTATGTGAAGTTTTATCAGGGCAAGCTTTTCTTGTGCACTTTGGTTGAGATTTTGTTATAATTGAAGTGTGGATGAGAGTGTCAAATCATAACAACATAGGTGAGATGTTGTGACAGAGCTGCTGGAGCAAGAAGAAGAAATAAAATTGAAAATAAAGAAATTAGAAGACTAAATTCATTAAAGAGAATCAGATGAGATGGTTTGGCCATCTGAAAAGAATGCCATTCTACCAGCTGCCCCAGAGCGCAATGGAAAAGACTTCACAGATGATGGAAGGATGGATGGAACAGAGAAGTTCCATCCATCTGCGTGAGCTAGAAAGAGCATAGAGAAGTTCCATCCATCTGTGTGCGCTAGAAAGAGCACAGAGAAGTTCCATCCACCTACCCCCAACACTTCAGTATGATAACTGGTGGTAGAGAAGAATAAGAATGGATAGAACTACAAATAAGAGAACCTGCCGTGATATGGCTCTCGGTCTAACTCTGTTGGAGAATTAACAACAGAAGAAGCAAAGAAAGAGTTGAAACTATAATCCTGTTTATCTGGAAATTACTGTTAATTTTTTTTCTGTCTTTATTTAGGTGCTCCATGCTTACTTGGAACTGTTAGCCCAGAAACACAGTGGCAAAGTGTTTGTGATACCGTTTGATGTGATATTTGAGTGGAGGGAGGGAAGGTTCAGTCAAAACATATTCCGTAAAGTGAGTACTGATTATTTTTATGTTTATTCAACGGCTCAATATCATGGCACACAGGTGTAACCTATAAGTGCTCCGTTCTTCTTCCAACTCAAGCCCGAGTCTGAAGAATCTCAGTGCAATGCACGAACACCGTTGCACCCGTGAGGATCCGGAAATATTTTGGGTAGATTTTTAACTCCAAATTTTGCCCCGCTCGAGGCGAACACCATGCCTTGAGACCACTTAGCCCTCCACCCACCCCTCAGAGAGTACTGATTATAAAATCATAATAATTGCACTTCCTTTTGAATTATTTTACCAGGTCTCTTTAATTTGTTCACCACATCTTTTATTACCAAGAGAATGGCAGAAACAGAGAGACAAAAACTATGTAGACAAAAGATTTAGTAAGTTAGTTGGGTTATCATCATTACACTCCAGACATGTCCATAGTTGCTCAGATCCTCCCCTAAGTATGAACCCCAACTTCCGATAGCTAATAGTACCAGTTCTATGTTGATTAACAAGTCTTCTGGTGTGTCTGGTGTGCGTCTCATTTTTTGCTATGCCGATCTTAATTCCCAAGTCTGCCATTCTGGCGAGTGATGTGGATTCACTGCCCCCAAAGTCCTCTATCCTTCCCATTTCTCTGAGGGCATTAATAATATCAGCATGATCCATAGACAAAGACTAAAGAGGATCATGGGAGTAGACAGTGAGACAGATCAAGAAGACAATGGAGAGATAATATATAGGCAGATCTACAAACACTTGGAGTCACTAAATGGAAAGAGAAGGCCAGTCACAGAGATGAGTGGAGGAAGGTTGGTGATATCTACAGCAGTGAACCTCAAGGGCTTGGAATGTTGAAGAAGAATGAAGAAAGAAGAACAAAGAATAATCTCTTGCAAGATATTGCTAGTCAGAGAAAAGAAATATGGCCCATTGGAGCAACACTTGCAAGGCAAATTAGGAGGCACTGGTGACTATCTCAGGAGCAAGATCTTGTATTTTTTGAAAACTCATCTGGAATAACTATATAGCAGACATTGATCACTGAGGAAGTTGTTCATCATATTATAGCCACACTGTTGGGTTGTTTTTCCTGCTGTAATTAATTTGTTCATCAGATTAAAGTCACTCTGTAGGAATGTTTCATTCACATGCTCTGATAGACTGGTTGGGTCTCTCTTAGTTGCAGATGGCCAACCTATGGATCATGCTGACTGTTAATGTTCTCAGAGAGAGAAGCCAATCAGAGAGAGAGAGAGTTATGGGGGCAGTGCATCCACGTTGCTTATAAGAATGGCAGAATTGGGAGCAAAGATGGGCACAAGCATGAGAGGCACAATGGACATAGGAGACATCTTGTCAGACAGTATAGGACTAGTGATATTAACCATGGGATGCTCATGTATTATTAAGAGAAAGGTGGTGGTGGGGGGGGGGGGGAGTTGATAGGGCCTAAACAACAATGGACTGTTCAGAGACATTAATATAAATAGATTAATAACTGATTTCACATGCTCTGTTTCACTTGTTTATTGCATCACATTTACACAACACTGTAAGTTGTTTGCTAAGAGAGAGAAAGAGAGAGAAAAAAAAAAGGAAAGGGGTGGGGCAGCTTACATTATTACGTACATTTTTTTTTCATTGTGAACAACAGCTGTGTAAACCAGATTTCTGTTTCCTCAAATGTCCCAATTGCAGGTTCACTTTAAGACGTTTGAGTTCCTGGTTCTTCCAATTCAATGTGGGGGAGAGTTCACAGAGGCAGAGAGGAAATCTGGTGACATATTGGCCCCTAGCTGGATGGCACTTGTTGCTGATGTGAAGAAAAGAACTGTAGCAGTTATCAACCCCAGATCTGAAGACAAGTACATCATTGCTGCCAATGGATATATGTTGCAATGGAGGTATGTCTTGCATTGGGGTATCTCCTCTTCTACTTCAGTGTTCACAGTACGCTGTAAACTCCAGCAGAAAGTTCTGGTTGTTCATCCACTTGTGGACTTTGGTCTTGTTCCAGAACTTGAGTTTTGCTTGCACAAATGGGCACCAAGTAAAGTCATGGGAAGTAAAGATGGGCCAGAGTGATGCTGACCACATCACACACCAAGTGCTGACTGGCCTATAAATATAGGTCTATGCCCTATATGCCCCAATACGCCTGAAGGCATGAAAAGGGTCCTGTACTTTTTTTCTTTACCATATTTTTTTGATACTGGTGTCAACCCCAGAATTGTACTTAGCTAGAATCCATAATCCTTCTCCTTCTCAGGATCCAACCA